ATGTGTTTTTTTTGCAGTATAAATGTAAAGCAGGATTTTAAAGATAAGTTCTTAGGAAATTTCCTTGAAAATTGAAGCCCTTCAAAACCAGTTCATTTAGACGGGCTTCCTGGAGAAATGGAGATTAACATCAATGTATTACTTTCCACAAAGCATATTAAAATATATTAAAGTAGATTCCTTCCTCAATTATTAAGCATCTTCTCTGGACCTGTGTCATTCCAGTGCATAAAACAGGAGACCTGTAGCCTCCAGAAGTCTCCTTAAGGAGACCAGACATGCACATTGGAAAGCAATAAAAGACCAGTGAAAAGAGTAAGATGGCAGAATAGTAAGGTAGCCTATGCTTTCATCTTCCCAATTGGTGCTCCAGCCTACAGCCTTGAGAGATGGGAGCAGGGTGGGACAGGGGGTAAGGTAGGAAGAGAAAAATGGAAGATGAGGCCAGTGTTTCAGCTTTTTAAAGTGCTGTCTGCCTGACTCTGAACTCTGACAAAACCAGCATAGTTTAGATGCCAGGTGGCTACTCAATACAAACAACAGCAGAAACAGCTTCCTATAGCACCAGAGGGTCTTCATTAACAAGGCCAGTGCAGTTTGGCATGATATGGAGAAGGCACTCAACTCTGAGCTTCTCTCTCAGAAACAAAATAGAATGGAGTGTGTGCTCAGTGATCCAGTTTCTTAGAGGGGTACTATGGAATTACTGTTTTTCTTACCTGTCTTGGGTACTCAGAGAACACCAGTCTACTTTGGATGCTACTTAGAGCAAAAGAGAGCAGGATAGTTTGCTCCTGTAGAACCAGAGAATGCACATTACTGCCAGCAGACATCAGAGGAAGTAAGAGATTATGACCTCTAAAGAAGAAAGCAGCAAGCTCTCCCTACACACATGACCCAGATAAGTTACATTCCCTAAAAAAGTTTTAGAAGCCCCCAGAATCTCTAACCAAGATGACTGGTGAGGATCTCTCCCTGTAGGAAGCTAACTCATAAAGACTGGGAGAGGTGACTGTTTTTTTCCAATGTAGAGAGTCCCATAAAAAATCATGAGATAACACAAACAAACAAG